AGAGCTGCCAGTAACTGGTGGGCAGAGAACTCTCAAGCGCCACCTGGAAGGTGAGAAAATATTTTGTATGTTAAGGAAAGGAAATCAAAGGTCAAAGTAAAAGATTTGACACCAAGACCTCTCTGCCTGGTGGGCCAGCAAATCTGTGCAGCCCAGTACGCGCCTAAATTACGTCTCCCTGGTCCAGACTTGGGTCTCGCCCTCACTCCTCGCGGCGTTTTAGCGAGATGAGCCAGGCCAACACGGACTTACTGGTCATCTGTCTCTATGGTGCCGCCTCGCCGGGCCTCTCCTTGGTTGGACTCCATGGCCGTGGAGTAGAGGGCTTTCTGGGCAGCGGGTCGCCGCGTATCGGTCTGCGACGTCCCGTCTGCTATCGCGTGCTCTTTCTGTGCCTGATCCATGTTGTGGATTCCGACCAGCAAACTGTAATCCGGCCAACACGGACTTACTGGTCATCTGTCTCTATGGTGCCGCCTCGCCGGGCCTCTCCTTGGATGGACTCCATGGCCGTGGAGTAGAGGGCTTTCTGGGCAGCGGGTCGCCGCGTATCGGTCTGCGACGTCCCGTCTGCTATCGCGTGCTCTTTCTGTGCCTGATCCATGTTGTGGATTCCGACCAGCAAACTGTAATCCATGATTTTAAAGCTCTGCAGGACCTGGGCAGAAAGTCAACAAAGGCTCGTTCAGTATTGCAAGCCCGGTGAAACTGTCAGAGCAGACGTTTTCAGAAGCGCCGTCAGCATTTCTGCCTCGAGTCCCGAGCCTATCGAGGCTTTCGACTCAGAGCTCGTGCCCAGTCAGCTCATCTATTGAATGGAACTGGGGTCCAGGTCCTGTTTCTTGTCCACACCACCACCAAAAACAACGGGTTCTCTAAGTCAAAAGGCTAAGGGAGCGGCAGCTGCCACCTCCTCCTTGTGGGAAAGGCCCAGAAAAAAAGGAAATAACTCTCCACACTGCCCCTTCACCCTTCCACTTACCAAACAGTCTCTGTGTAACGTTTTCCACAGGGCGTTATACATGTCGGAGTCCAAGAAGAGGCCATCAGGGATGTCCTGCATAAAATCCAAGTCCTTGAATGTCGGGAAGACCTTCTCCCGCTCCTTGGGGGACGCTCGGCGTTTGTAGGTGGAGCCCTTCAGATCGTACTTCAGGTGCATTTTGACAGAGCGCGGCAGCAGGTTGTTCATCACGACGATGCGGATGTTTTTGCCTCCGGCCTGGACACAGTTTTTTCTCCTCGGCCCGGCACAAAGAAAAAGCCGTAAAACTTTGGTAGCAGCGTCCTGGGGTTCTGGTTCAAATTCTAGAACATCAAAGACAAAAGAAATGCCTTCAGAGCCGTTCTGGTTATTCACACGCCAGCAGGGGAGTTATTTGCTCCTTCCTGCGCTTCTGTATCGAAATGGAGCTGGCGCTGATTCAAAGCAGCTCAGAGGTGAGGGCAGGTAACGCAGGGAACAGATGGGTGATGCCTACGGTTGTTAATAACCTCTCCACAGAGTCAAAAGGGTTAGAGAAAGATTGGGGGAACACGGCAATATCTGCCACGCTTGAACATCTGGGGGACCCATCCTGAGCTCACAGAGAAAGCCTCTCCCCAGCG